GTGTGTGTGTGTGTGTGTGTGTGTGTGTGTGTGTGTGTGAACAGGAGCAGAGATGTGCTTTATGAATGAAGTCCTCAGCTCCTGACTGTCACCTGTTCTCACCTGTCCCAGGATCAGTGTGTGACGTGGAGCTGAGCGATGATGCACCAAGTCCAGTGTGTGTGTGTGTGTGTGTGTGTGTGTGTGTGTGTGTGTGTGTGTGTGTGTGTGTGTGTGTGTGTGTGTGTGTGTGTGTGTGTGGTGAAGAATTGCATAACCTCCTCTCAGTCAGTGTGTGTGTGAGAGAAAAGCACATGTACCCGATTCACATAAAGGTCCAGCAGCAGCGTCTGCAGCGACATGAGTGCGTAAAAAAGACCAAACATCCAGCGGGCCTGTGCGACTTATTACACACACACACACACACACACACACACACACACACACACACGCACACACACACACACGCACACACACACACACGCACGCGCGCGATCAATCTTTAAATAACCGAGGATGTGATGATGACGCTCAGCAGCACGATGAGCTGCGCTGTGGTCCGACTGAAAAGTGCCGCAGCGGCTCAGGAGCGTTTCAGTGCACACACATGATTCTTTTTTTTTTTTTTCGCTCCCCGACGCTCGGCTCGGTTCGACGTGAGCCGCGCGACGTAGCCGAATCAAGGCGCGAGACGCCTAATAAAAGAAAAAAAAAAAAAAAAAAAAAAAAAAAAAAACAACCTCCGGTCCGTTTGCCATGACTCGGAGAGCAGCTTTGGAAGCAGGTAGCATGACATTCCCCCATACCTTCCTGCCTGGATGGTGTCGCGTTGCCAAGTGAAGAAGGGGTGGGCTCGGCTTGTCGACGCGTCCGCCTCGTTGTTTGTCTCCGGCTCCCGGGGCTCCAGCGCCTCGCGCTCCGCGACTTTCACCTCCCTGGGAAGGAAGGATCCCGGCGGGTACAAATGTCTCACCCAGAACCGGGGGACCCATGCAACGTGAGGCGCGTTGTGGGGGGGATCAGGGGGAGCGGGGGGGAGAGGGGGAGAGAGGAGCGCTGTCTCCTTCCCAGCGCTGAATTGACGTCACGGAAGTGCGAGTTGTACCGCCAGGGGGCGCCAAAAACAGCACTGCAAAAAAATATTTATTTAAAAAAAAACTTCATTCGCAAAATCTGTGAACTCAGACCGACGTCATTCACTGAGTTTTATCAGAAAGGGATAAGTGGGTGGTCCTGGATCAGCACGGGCTTTGATGCCCCTCAACATTAACTCTCCCTAAATCCTGAGTGATCCACTGGCTGCATGATGATCTGCAAAAATGTGTTCAATGACTCAGTGACAGTTCTGCATTTTTAACTAAACATATCAAAAATAATTAAAAGTTATAGTAACAGTTTATACAACTCTTATTCCAAAAGTCACTGAGGTGTTGTTTAAAATGTAATCAATGTAATAATTGGCTAATTTCATATCAAATTTTACTCATAATGAAACATAATAAACATGTCAAACATTTAAACTTTAAAACTGAACCTATTCTGAAAAAAGGGCAATTTTGTATTTGATGGTAGCAACAAATGTGGAGACTGGGGCATAAAATATCTGTAAAAGTAAGGACTACAAATAAGAAATAGCTTTAGGAGCATTTGGCAACAGGTATATCTATCTATCTATCTATCTATCTATCTATCTATCTATCTATCT